CATAATTTCACGACACGTGTTTCTGGTCTGGTCTCGCAACCGTCTTCAGGTGAAAGTGGAGATTTTTACATATTATTAAAAATAATTAATTTTTCTTCATGTTCAATGTGGAATATTCTCGATATGAGACATTCTGTTTGTGTGTTGGCAATCCGAATTTTCTTTCTAGAATATATATATATATATATATATATATGGATAGGTTGGTTAATAAAACAAGGGCAAACAAAAGGGTACCAATATAATCAGTACGATAAACATTTATTAATTATTAACCATATGACAGAAATGAAGCACGGAGAGAAAGGTTTTATGTTCGGAACTTTTGGACACGCCTGTGTCCTTCATCAACGGATCGAGAAACAAACAGAGAAATGGCAGATGTTTTTGCAGATTTTCTAGTGGAAATCGTATTATAGCAAAAAAAAAAAAACAAAAACAGATCTCTGATTCTAAGATGGGCGAATCTTTTTATGTAAATATACTATAATTTAAAATGTTGATCGTAGTACATGTGTTAGGCAGATCTATTGTTACTAGTGTGTGTTGTGGTGGGAGTGAGATTGTAAACATTGATGAGGAGAGTTATAGGTTGGAGAGCGGGAAACATTTTGCAGCAAAAATTGGCAGATTACGTGGTCGAATTTTGGATAATGTAAATATGCTTAGAATATGCAATGAAAAGGAAGAAAGGGAAAGAAAGAAAAGGAGGGTAAATGGTAATATATATAATAAAATCATATAATATATATATATATATATATATATATATATATATATATATATATATATATATATGTATGTATGTATTAAGCGTTTTTACCACAAGCGAGGTGGGAAGCCATTAGCACGCAAGAGTTTACAGAGAGTTGGAACGAGAGAAAAGAGGAGTGATAGAGGAAAGGATGAAGAGAAGGATAGATCAAGGCATCTGGAGACGTCAATTGACATTACATTTGAATAGTTGGAGATTATAGCGATCAGGGAAACAGAAGAATGGAAGGGAGTTCCACAGGCGAGAAGTGCGAGACACGAAGCTCTTGGAGTAGAAGAGACGACTTCATTTAACAGTTTTTACAGTGAAAGGTTGAGAGCGATATGACAGCATGGTTGAACGCTTGAATTCACGAAGTCTGGGAACCAGCGAAAGCAGTTACCGTGAAAGTATTTATAACAAAGACATTGGGAGGCGACGGCACTTCTCTGAGAGAGCGACTGCAGACGAGATGCCAGATCAGGGCCAATTACATTGCATATATATATATATATATATATATATATATATATATATATATATATATATGCGGAGTTGGGTAACAAATAAATATGTCTGTAAAAAGAGAATATAAATAGACAAATGTAAAACTTTTCTTTGCCAGCGCATTTCGCCCTCCGAGGGATATTATCAAGGCAAATATTAACATAACACAACGCACTTGGCCTGCTTTCAAGCAAGAAATATACTATTGACGCTTGATGTTTACCACATTGTACACTCGTTTTATATATATATATATATATAATTATTTTTTAAAAAAAATTTATAACAAAGTAAGGTTATAAATCACTTCAAAAATAGCCATTTTGTTTCAACACACTCTGTGTCTTATCAAGTGATAGTGTTGAAAAGACACATGTGTTATGTTATAAATTTTTTTTGTTATAAAAATAATTATATCTCTTTCTACTTTGTATTGAGCACTCTTTTAAGAATAGTAATTGTTGGTTATTGGAATTCATTCCGTGTATACCAATTATATACTTTGTTATATATATATATATATATATATATATATATATATATATATATATATATCTGTGATGAGGTACACTATTTACATTAAGGACACATGGCAGAGTGGATAAAGGCGTTGGTTAGATCTAGTGACAGGACCTAAAGAGTGTGAGTTTAATACCAGATTAAAGCAGTGGAGAACTTGGAGAGAGGAATTAACAGGAGATAGCTGATAACTGAGATCCTTTAAACAAGGCCCGTGTAACTAGAACAGTCTACTTCAGTGACCGAAATAAAAGGTTCTCTTCAACATTCCAAACACGTGAAGAAGGCCGGAGCGTACAATGGCCGAAACGTTGTAATAAATATGGCGACAATGAGGACAATAGTACGAATAATGTAAAAAGTATATATATATATATATATATATATATATATAAATTATTAATCTTTCAAATAAAATATAATTCTGCCAAGCGTTTTCTAATTATGATGTTTTTTGATACAGACTGACCGATATATCGTATAAACTAGTTTTAGTTTTACTAAAATCGTTTATATATATATATATATATATATATATATATATATATATGCGTGTGTGTGTGTGTGTAGAATAATTCTATCTTTCGTGTTTCTTCTTTAATTCCTTAATTCTCTCTTTATTTATTTCTAATTTATGCTCCCTTTCTTTCTTCCCCCTTTTATTTGCTTCTTTCTTTCTTTCTTTCCGTTATTCATTCAGACTTTTTTTTTCTTCTTCGTTGTCTTTCATGTCATAGGAAAATAATTTTGTTCTTGTAGACTTCGTGTATTCAAATAATTTTAGCAACACAATCTTACATCAATGAACAAACTCCCTCTACGTATCTAACTCTCAATCACTATTTCTCTATGTAAGAATGAATGTGTGCACATATATGTGTGTACAGGGAACGTATCTGTATACGTGTCTCAATTTATACAGTGATTTTATTCATATATATATATATATATATATATATATATATATATATATATATATATATATATATATATAATGGGTGTATACATAAAATGTATGCATATATCTATACATATGGATACGTTTTATGCATGTATTTTATATATATGGATACATTTTATATATATATACATATATATATATATGTGTGTATATATATATATATATATATATGTGTGTGTGTGTGTGTGTGTGTGTGTGTGTGTGTGTATAATATGTGTATGTATAAAATCAACAATATTTTCTACTTAGGATTGCCCATGTATATTCTTCCCTGTAGTAATGAGATTTATTCCCTGCGAAATATTATCATTCCATGTTAATGACGATATATCATTCCTTAAATGGATAATAAGCGCATATATATATATAATATATATATATATATATATATATATATATATATATATATATATATATATATATATATATATATGTTTTGTGTATTGTTCCTTTTTTCTTTCTCTTGATTCGTAATCGAAGAAGAAGGATGTTCGTTCCTGATTAAACCACTTTTTTTCACAATATCTGTCATTTCATAAAAAAAAAATATACACACGTTTCTATTAGCCATTTCTTTATTCTTTATAAATCCTCTTTATCGTATGAATTCATACAGTCCTCGTGCGCATTCTCGCTGTAGATAACATAGTAACAGTAAGCAGCATCTCAAAAAAGGATTTCAATATGATCTACTGATGGCAAAGCGTTAGCCCCAGTTGCAAATACGATTATTAATGGTAATTCCCGCACCCGTGTGTGTGTTTTTCGCCCATCCCCGTTCCTATAAAGCCTCAAACATCAAATTATGACCTAACACGATATTGCCATCACGTTTACACTCTGTTAAAAGATCTTGCAACATATGCGTTATCTTTGGTGTCGGCTGTTTTTTAAATAATTGTAAATATCATGTTCTTCCTGTCGCCATCGAGGTGCTAACATTTTATGTAAAGTAACATTTTATTAAAAGGAATTTATGTAACGCTGTTGTTCGGACTTGGATTATTAAAAATATTTCGAAATGTAACTGAAAAGGTGACGTAACTGGCAACAAAACAAGAACATATTTTGACAATCTTTAACATTCGGGCCCTCAGCAACAACACAAAAATCTGTATGACAAACGAACGGTTATTCCCTTGACACCGGAATTAATGTATCCACTTTTTGTTTAGTTATTTTTAAAGCCATATTTAGAATCAAATATATGAAAATGAATTTATATTTTCTCTTTATTCTTGAAAATTCATAACAACAATGTTAAACATTATTTACACTATTTACATTATTCGGACTATTGTCCTCATCTTTGTTGCCATATTTATCACAACGTTTCGGTTGTTGTACGTTCCGGCCTTCTTCAGGTGATTGGAATGTCGAACTGAACATTCCAACCTTCTGAATAAGGACGGAGCGTACAACGGCCGAAACGTTGTAATAAATATGGCGACAAAGATGAGGACAATAGTCCGAATAATGTAAATAGTGTAAATAATACCTCATCTCAGAAATATAGATATTTAGTGGAACTAAAGATTATTTATTTATTAGATTGTTTAATTACAATAATAATTTTATACTTACAAGTTTATTGTAATATTAGAAGCAACTGCAATGAAATAATTTTTTACCATTTCATAAAGAAATGAATCTGAAAAGAAATGTTTTATTCATAAATTTATAAAAATGTCTGTGAACAAGAAAATTAACTTAATTTACATTATTCGGACTAATGTCCTGATTTTTGTTGGCATATTTATCACAACGTTTCAACCGCTGTACACTCCGGCTTTCTTCAGGTGGTTGGAATGTCGATAACTGACATCCATCAGACATGGCACGTGGAACTTGAACAGTCTACCGCAGCGAGAGAAATAAAGGGTTCAGTTCGACATTCCAACCACTGGAAGAAGGCTGGCACGTACGACGGTCGAAACGTTTTGATAAATATGGCAACAAAGACGAGGACATTAGTCCTAATAATGTAAATATTGTAATAAGATTAAACATTGACAATATACTAATCAGATTCATGAAAGTAAGAATTTATATGGGTAAGACGTTTTTTTCCTTTTATTTACCCTGTCTATTTAGGGTGGAATCGGCAATTGACTCTCCCCAAGCAATATCTATACCATTAACTTGATGTTGTTATTAAGTTGTGTCATAAATAATTTCCGCTTGTCTTCATCAAGATAGTTCTTCAAAAATTCAAATACAATTACATTCTGTGCAAATCCAACATTATTTACAAGCGTCTTACGACCACATCACATCGAAACACAGTTTTCCGTACGATCAGACAAGTTAATCATCGTCGAGTCTGGTCAGTAATTAGATGGTGACCTTATGGGAATACCCGGTGTTGCAAGATTGAATGTGCGAGTTGTGTAATAGATATTGACCCTTGATAATCGAAGAGTTTCAAATCCTGTTGGGTTCGTTATTCAGTTACGTGCAAATACCCTTGGGAAAGGTATGAATCCAATTACCTTCCAACTATTGATTAATTAGTAATATTTCTATCACTAAATAATTCAAAGGGTTGATAAACAATTATTATCGAAAAAAAAATATTACAATCTACAAATATTTTTCTGGCTTTAAATAACTTTCAAATAGTTGATAAATCTTAGAAAGCGAATCAATAAAGCTTTTTTTTGCAAAGACTTGTTGCACAGAAGGTTGTGATGTGAAATGTTTTTCGACGAACTTTATCATTAGAAAAAGGTTTATCCTGTAAAAACGTTTTGCAGCGATCGGAAGATGTAATAATCCGTTGGTGCAAAGTCAGGTGAATATGACTCGTTAGGAGGTGAGGAGAGGGTAGAACAGACTAACCAAGTTCCAAATATTTCTCTTACGTTATTCTTGCGTTGTCAAGAAGAACATTTTTTCCTGTTGACAACGACGCTTTTCGGTCAAAAGTTTATGGACACGTTACAGATGCTGGACGCATAAATGTGCGTTTAGTGTTACACTGCGTTTTAAGAACGTTAAATAATATCTCAACGGTCACACCACACGCACAACGTTACCTTTATTACATGGAGCTCAGCATTTGTTGTTGCTTGTGGAAGTTCATCCTCGTCAGTCCACTATAGTTTGCATTGAACATTGTTGCATACAAGCCATTTTCATCAACGGAATGACTCAACGTTTAATAACTGAAAACTGGCACGTCCTGGGTAAGACGATAAACTACATCCGCACCCTGGGTAAAAATAAACTACATCTGATCAGGAGGTTTTGAGAAACTTGGAACCACATATAAATGTTCAACGTGAGTCGGCGTTAGGGTCCCGAATATATACATGCATATATAGAGAGAGAGAGAGAAATTCGTCGAGCCTAGAATAATCCATCAGCAGTACGTAACAACTACCAAGAATCGAACACGGACTGTTTCGATACAATGCAAACGTCATACCAACGGTCCCACGGACAGCAGTGACGAATAAAACACAAACTAGACTACATATAGCGAAACGGCCGTCTAGTGCTTTCTGCATTCTGTTGAGGATGATTCTTGTAAATAAAACTTTGTTTTGGTTTTTTTTAAAGCGTTTCACCCCAAGAAAGGTCGGAAGCTACTAGCACGCAAGTGATTACAGAGAGTTGGAGCTAGAGCAAATAGGAGTGATGGAGGAAAGGATGAAGAGAAGGATAGGGGATAAATCAGTGCATCTAGAGATGTGATTATATCTATCAGGGAAACAGGAAGAGTGCAGGTAGTTCCACAGGCGAGAGGTGCGAAACATGAAGCTATTGGAGTAGAAGAGACGGCTACATTTAACAGTTTCGACAGTGAAAGGGTGAGAGCGAGATGCCAGCCTAGTTAAACGCTTAAATTCATGAAATTTGGGAACCAGCGAAAGCAGCTCCTCAGAGCAGTTACCATGAAAGTATTTCTAGACAGAGGGAGGCGACAACACGTCTGTGAGAGAGCGACTGCAGACGAGATGCCAGATCAGGGCCAATTACGTTGAACCTTGAGACAAACATAAGGGGCACCAGACCATATATGGCAGCAATACTCCATGCAAAAGCGAATGATTGATTTTTAGATTTGAAGGATCGACTCCGGCGATAAAAATTTCCTGGCACGGCACAGGGAGCCAACTTTCCTTGCGGTGGACGAAGCTATTGACCCAATTTATTTGTTCCATCTCAGCTCAGCAGTCAATGTGAGGCCGAGTAGCCGCAAAGTGGAGCTCCCTAGAAGTTGAGCGTCAGACATTCTAATGGGGGGCAGGGATGATTCACTGTAGAGAGCAGTTTTGTTTTTGTGGCGTTAAAATTAGCCAGCCAATTCCTGCCCCAGTCCACAACCGATTGGAGGTTCTTTTCGAAACAAACGGCCTGGTTAGTTTTGTCAACAACACTAGATTTGTTTTTGAGACAGGAGTAAGCTGTAGTGCTGTCCGCGTAGATGCCTACCTGGGAATCTATGACGTCAGGAAGATCGTTGGTGAAGATTAGGAACAGAGTAGGGCCTAGGATGGAGCGTTGGGGAACACCTGCGTTTGTGGGATAGAGAACGTGCAGGAATGGCAAAAGAGGAAAGTGTGCACAAATCATGCCGTTGATGTTATACCTGTAGACAATAGAGAAAACAACATCTGATTGGCTAATGCAAATCTCGATGCCATTATAAAAGTAACCTGTCTTCTGATATAATAATCGTTGTTAGAATTACATCGTGGAGCGAATTATGCGGAAAGGCAGCCTGTCTGCAGGTCGAGGTATCTGGTAGAATGGGTCTGATGTTGCCATACCCGAAATTCGTAATGAAGCCAGAGTAAAAATCACTGATGACATCTACCGTTGCATTGTATTTCAAGAGTATATATTCAAAATTCTCTTCGTTTATAACAAAGCGAAACGTATCAATTTTCTTTAGTTTAACATTTAGGAGCGGTGGAACATAAGCAATCATAGACCGAGAAATATAAAAATGTGATTTAAATTCAATGCTGCTGAAGCATTACTTAAATATTGCCTTCATTTTTTTTTCTGCACTGATAAACTTGTATTTACCTTAAAGTTATATAAGAGATTTTTTTTTAAATGGAGAGCTTAGCAAACGATCATTCTTTTCTTTCTTTTTTCAGTCAAGTAGTTTGATCTTTTCTCTTAAAAAAACACATAACTTACCTTCGAATTTTCAGCGTCGTGATATTTTCCATATAGCATCCTTATTATGTAAATATGACGGGTTACTTATAGTGTTGACCGTGTGTAACTGAAACCGGTGAAAACGAAATCGCTGGGAAGAGAGATAAAAAGTATATCACCTATGTATACTTTTGTATAGAAATGGCGAAAGATATCTTTCGAAAACTAAAGAAAGTATTAACCTATTACCTGCCATGAGCTCCATTTGGGGATCTGTTAAAATTAAACTCACTATATGTTATTCCTTGTATTTACATTGAATTGCTTACATACATTGCATTTGCAGGGGTATATTTTACAACACTTAGCCTTTTTATTATTAGCCGTAAGAAGAGACTTTCTGTCTTAATTTTACATTCCACGAGTAGAAAAATAATGACTATTTTGAAAAGTATTTTTTTTAATATTTCCAATCAATATTATTTTTTGATGTTTTATACACATATATATTTGATGTTTTAGTTTCTATAAAAACGACAATGGTAACTACTGAAATTAAACATAAGGAATAAATAAACTCCTAAGACACCTGCCTGGGTCAAAAATGCGCATTAAAATAATTTGTCAGCTAAAGGGTTAAGAAACCGGAAAATTTCGCTAGAAACGGAGGAAATCACGCTGAAGTGTTATGCAATATCATTTCTTCAATATGGCAGTGAAGGCTGGATAATTTCCTCACAGATGTTGAGACTTGAAGCAAAAAAGATGTGTTTCATTTCTGGTTCATGTAATGAATAAAGAAGATTTGGAGGATTTAAAACTCACAGGTATATTGAAAGTAAAAGAAATGGAAGGAAACAGCAAATACCTAACAAGATTGGGATGGCGGAATAAAGACTGGCAGCGACAGTAACGGAATATATATATTGCGTAGAGTTACAAATGATATGCAATTATATAGAACAATGATTGCCTACATGTTGAAAGAAGACTGAACATGATGTCTTTTGAAAACTCACTAATTCATATAACATCCTAAATATACTGTATACATCAACATATAGATAAAGATATTGGCAACATATCAGTAATAGATGGTAGAATGAATGCCGCAGCATATCAAAATATTTTGGAAGCAAATTTAATGATTTCAGTTGAAAATCTTGAACGTCCTTCTCTTTGGATCTTCCATAAAGACAATGATCCTAAGCATACTGCAAAATCTACGAAAAGATGGCTTGGTAAATGGTGAAACTTGACTAATGCATGGAATAATTATACAACACAAAATGTACTTAGAACAAAATGTATTGAAACAAGAAAGTATACACAATATTTACATATAGTCTTTTGTATATTCCTGGTAAGACCGTTCCTGGAGAATGTGTTGACTGAGTCGCAGTCGGGCAGAGTCTCTGGTTGAATCTCTTGATTCCACCTCTCTTCCCGGTACCAACCATATTTATATGGTCGGTACTCCACTATGTAAATTAGGTGAATCCTACCACAACAGTAAAGTAATGTAAATATCATGAAATGGCTACATCAGTTCACAGATTTAAGTCCAATCGAGAATCTGTGAAATTATTTGAAAATTCAAATCTAATCAAGAGCTCCAAGAAACATCCCGAATCTGAAGAACGTATGAGAAGAATGGAACAAAATACAAACTAAAATTTGCAAATCATTAATATAGAACTAAAAGAAGAGTTTGTTTACTGTAGAAGTGAATAAAAGCTTTTCTATAAAGTATTAAATGAAGCTTAATATATTCTTTTTTTGTATTGTATGAATATTTTTACACCCATTAAAATGGATAAATGGGATTTATTTATATTAAATCAAATTTTCTTGTTTTCTATGCATATTTATTTATTATGCATCTGTGTACAGTTGATTATATGAAAAATATGTTTATTCATTAGTTGGAAACACAATAAATTAAAAAATTGCATGTGTAAGAATATCTGCCCCCCCCACACACACACACGCCCCCACTGTATTTTGCGTAGATTTATTGAATTATGTAGAACAATGATCACCTATGTACTGATGGGAGACTGAACATAAAATATGATGTCTTTTGAAAACTAATTCATGTCTCTATCTATAAAAGGCAGGATGTGTGTGTGTGTGTGTGTGTGTGTGTGTGTGTGTGTGTGTGTGTAACGAATGCACGGCCGCAATTTTCGACAGATTTGCACCAAAATTTATATGCACATGCTCCAGGTTAGCGGTAAGGCTAAGACTGAC